GGCAGGCGCTGACCTCCAACAAAAAGAAGAAGTAATTTTATCGAAATACAAGAGGTTTTTCTTTTCGAAATCCGAATAGAAAGGGTACAGATTGTATTCGAATACAACGTGTAGGACCTGCACCGTTTCAATTTCGAAAAAGGACTACCCGCACCGTTTCAATTTCGAAAAAGGACTACCCGCACCGTTTCAATTTCGAAAAAGGACTGCGGCCTCCTCGGCCTCCTAGTCGCAGCTACCGGTCCTACGCGTTCCTGGCCCTTGCAAGGCCCCAAAACCTCAAATGCCCACCCTCCTGACGACCACGAGGTTGAAATTTGAAGTTGAACGTTGAATGTCTCAGGCGGGGAAACGCATCCCTGACGGGCTGCGAACACTCACACCGGTATTGGCCAAGGACCCTGCTAATACCGATCAGGGGTATGAAGGGGACTATCACGGCTGGTTGGCAGTAAATGCGCAGCAGGCGGTTGTGGGGCTCGTGAATGATACTTGCGTGCCTAACCAACTGAGCTAGGCGGCCGGTTCGGACACGGTTTTCAGAATTCACCCCCCAAAAAAACAAAAAACTTGTGCCAGCCCCCGCCGCACCGTGCCGCACCGGTGTAGGAATCAAAACCAAACTCGTGCTAGTGGGACTGCGGCCCCGGAGACTCAGGAGGCCGCTGACAAATGCCACCCCAAGCATGAAGTTCGCCGAATCGAATTGCATTGTCTGTCATGCCGCGTGCGTGTGCGATTGGCGACGTCGGCCCTCCTGAGGTTCGGCTTCACCAGGGAGTCTATCACCCACTTGTGTCCTTACACGTCCCGATTGGCCTGCAGGCACTGTCGGTTGCAATCCGGGTCTGTCCACGCACTTCGGCTGTCGTCACAAAGCACGTGTGCGTCAGAGAGAAGGCAAAGAGAACTTGAATTGGGAGACGAAAGACGTGAAGCAGCTGGCAGCTGGAAGGGAGCCGAAGACGTGAGGAGTCACCCAAGCGCGCTGTACGTTCTCGGACTGGCGATATGGCGACGATAAAGCCCGTGGAGGGCTTCGATGCCGAAGCGGACGGCAGAGCTTTGGCGGAAATTATGGGAGGTAACGTCTATTCTTCGCTGTTTGTCTGAAGGCAGTAAAAATCAAAGTGTTGGAGTACGATGCCGACAATGAAAGGCATCGTCGCGGTAGGGTTCGCCGGACGTATTCTGACTGCAATAACGGCCAGATTCAGTCCGGAAAGTCCTAGTGTGAGTATGGCCGACGACGACGGAATGATCTGTCCATGGCGAGGTCGCATGACGGTAGAAGCAGGAGGTGTTGTTCCCTCTCTCTTGTTAGATTTGCAGCTGTCGAAAGATGAATGTCAGAGACCATCGTCCCTGAGCGATCTGGAAACTGATAAAGACGAAGAACAAGATCCCGCTGGTGATAGATAGGAGACGCTGGGCGATGGTGATCATGTTCACGGAGACGATGGTGATGATCATGAAAACGATGGTGATGATCATGAAAACGATGGTGATGATCATGAAAACGATGGTGGTGATGATGATGATCTTGAAGATGATGGTGATGATGATGATGGAGGAGCGAGAAATTGATGAAGACGAAGAACGAGATCCCGCTGGTGATAGATAACATCCGTTGGGTGATGGTGATGATGATCATGAAGGCGATGGTGATGATGATGATGATGATGATGATCATGAAAACGATGGTGGTGATGATGATGATCATGGAGATGTTGGTGATGATGAGGATGATGGAGGAGCTAGAAATTGATAAAGACTAAGAACAAGATGCCACTGGTGATAGTTGACAGACTTTGCGTGATGATGATGCTCATTGAAGATGATGATGATGATGATGATGATGATGATGATGAAATTGGTGGTGATGATGGTGATGATGATGATGTTGGAGTGGGATTCAAGTTGGTTGGTAGAGCAGAAGGTAGCGCTGATCATGGTGACGATGATAATGATTACGACGATGATAACGAAGGTGGTGCATAGGACAACCTCGGTCACGTCGAGGACGATGACTCCTATCACCTGCTTTTGTGCAGGTAGAGCGAGAGAGCGAGTGCGTTGGTCTCCTATTAAACCACCAGTAGTACTTCCTAGAGTCGTGCCCGTTAACGCGCGACGATTTTAGGAAACGTACGGGCTACTACAGGAGCGCCCAAATTCATCCAACTAGAAACGTTTTTCTACTCTATTTTTTTCCGCGGCCGATAGCTGGGCCAAGTACGGGTGGTTTAACGTGCTTTCATATATTGCGGGGATCTCCATAGTTAAGCATCCGCGGCCGATAGCTGGGCCAAGTACTGGTGGTTTAACGTGCTTTCATGTATTGCGGGGATCTCCATAGTTAAGCATGTGTTGGTGGGCGTATCTTGTGTTAGGCAGGTCGGACTTCGTTACGGCCGTTCTTAGACGCAGACGAAAATGTGGGCGGTGATGTCGCGCGATTTGAACATATGCTCTCAAATTGCTACGCGCGTTATTCTCGCCGCGTTTAAGTGGATGTGGTGATGCGGCGTCATTTGCGGAGCATGTTGCAAGCTGAGTGACGCTTCGTCTCGCTCTTTTTTTCTCATGCCTTCCTTTCTCCTCGCTCGCTTCCTCTGTCTGTATTCATTCGCTGTTATCGCTTTCTATGTCAGCTTATTGAGGCAGGCTGGGCAGTGAAGGTATTTGCAGGCCTTTGTGTAGGGACCAAGGGTTGGATCGATCGATAATATCTGTGTGTGTGTGTGTGTGTGTGTGTGTGTGTGTGTGTGTGTGTGTGTGTGAGAGAGAGAGAGAGAGAGAGAGAGAGAGAGAGAGANGTGTGTGTGTGTGTGTGAGAGAGAGAGAGAGAGAGAGAGAGAGAGAGAGAGAGAGAGAGAGAGAGAGAGAGAGAGAGAGAGAGAGAGAGAGAGAGAGATGTAACCAGTCTGCAGTCGATTCCACTGGACGCGCGGCACTTGACCTGTCGTAGCTCCTCATTGAGTGGATGCGAGCTGGCCTATCCGCGGCTATCCCTCTCCACGTCCCCAACCAACCTGGTTCTGCGTTTGCTACGTTCTCCTATCCCTATAAAGCCTTCAGATCTGCTGCCGTTGAGATAGATTAATGCCACTGTGACAACCGCCTCCCAATGAACCTGCAGGGGAGGCTGTGGAACGGCCCGTACTGTCTTCGCCTTGCCTTGGACTAAGCAAGCATGTGTGACTCGAATACGTAGTTTTCTGGTAGGTTTCTAGCCAGAACTACCCAATAGTGCTGCTGTGGACCCCGTCGGCGGACTTTGCGAGTCGTTAATGGTATTAGGATGTGCTTTACCGTCTGTATGTCTAAGTTCATCTCTATGATGAGGGCAATGCGATATGATCGTGACGCTGGTTAGCGTAGGCCTTGATCGTAACCAGTAGTGCCCGCGCTCCACCTCTTCTTTTCCTGCTTAGCGGGCTCTGGGTTTTCTTCTCTGGAACCGCTCTAGATCACGAGGGCACAGTAGTAGACTGGCTGTTGTCTCGATTTGATTCTTTAGGCACTTGGCAATCGTCAGCGGGGAAGTATGTTGTTTGGATGTTCCAAACTCTTATTCTATATTGCAATTCAACGCAGAATTAGTCGTAGGGGGAATTAAGCGAGATCGTTTTGTATCCTCGCCTTCGTGTTCTTCAGGTGCCGAGGACGGATCTTTACTGTCCACTCCTATCACCATCGCACCTATCTCGTCATCTTTTCTAGTTGTGCCCGTCGCTTTTCGTCAGAGGGCGTCCGGCGATTCGAGCTGATGCCTTCAGAGACTCGCAAACGCGCAGAGAGAAGCACATAGAAACACACGCAGGAGCGCCCACACACCCACACACCCACACACACACCCACACACACACAGAGAGAGAGAGAGAGAGAGA